TCCAGCCTCTCTTCTCCAGGACCACCTTTGGATCCTGCCTGCTAATCAGGCATCCATTGGAGTGTCAAGGTTGTTGCATTCAGCTAATTTGTTGCTAAAACAGCATTATTTTGGCTATTTTATCAGAAATAAGTCAGACCTTGTGGTATCCCTCCCTGGTTTATCTGTTGTCTGGGTTACACACCAGTGCTTCACTCTGGCCAGGAAGGAAGATGTCCTGGTCGGCCTCAGCTCTCTCCCATACTGTTGTTATTAAATATCTGCATGTTAAATAACAACAGTAAAATAAAATAAATGCAGTTAAACTGCATTCTTGGCCTTTGGTGGGAGTTAAAATTTGACTGGAGGAGGTCCTTGAGCAACCTGGTTCATGAGCAATCCGGCTTCATGGGCCTTCCAACATCAGTGGTTCCCCGAGTTTCTCCTCTGCCATGGAAAGAGAAGACAATACTCACACCTCAAATAAAATTTTGTATTGCTACATCCTGCAGTTTTCAAGCAGGGAAATCAGTGTAAACCATGCTTATTGTACCCAGGAAAAGGCACATTCTGCTGTGGGAAGACAAGCTGAGCTGCAGACCTTGGATTTTCTTTTGCAATGCCCTTCCCAGTGCTTAATCTTGTCTCTGTTCAGTTTTCTTTCTGTTCTCACTCTTTGCTCCTAATCCTTGTCCATGCTTATAAGCCCCTAATATTTATATGGCATTATCTGTGTTAGAGATTACTGCTGACAAGTAATCTCTTCCCTCTTCTGAATGAAGAATTACAGCCATTGCTGAAGATCAGAAAGTGAAATTAGATCCCCGAAAGTATGTGACAACTTCAATAAACCCTAATATCAAATTCCCTGAATATTGGGGATCTTCTTTCAAGCTTTTAGGTTGGAACTCTAGTACAGCGTCAGGATACCTGACCACACTCAGCAATATTTTTTTTTTGCTGCAGGGCAAAATGTGACAGTAGTTGCAGAGAAAAAAAAAAAAAAAAAAAAAAGAATTATGTCTATTCATCCAGTTTTGTAATTTTTTGCAATCTTTTGAGAAGTAGCTAAATAGAAACAGCATCAGTTTTACTGTTATCAACTGATTCATAATATTAAAGATAGAAATATAATTGTATGATTTTATATATAATTAAGTATATACTAATGGAGTCACTGTCTGTTCCAGTTTGGCACACAAAAATCTGGTGGTTTTTTTGTTGTTTTTTTTTTTTTTAAACTTTATTTCTTAGAGTAGAAGCAGCCAAATTCTTGAGTTTTGGAAAAACAACTTTGGTATTTCTACAGTTCTTGGTCAGTTATAGGTGTGCATGGCTTGGAGCAACCTGGTCTAGTGGAAGGTGTCCCTGCCCATGGCAGGAGGGTTGGAATGGGATGATCCTTAAAGTCCCTTCACTCTCAGAGCATTCCATAATTTTGTTATTTTTAAACTTTTTAATAGCAGTAGTTAAAAAAAAAAAAAATACCCATTGCACTTTCAGAACCCTAAATTTGCACCCAAATGTAACTACATTTACAGAAGAGCCAATTTTTATTACTTTAAAAAAAATTATTTATTTATTGCATCCATCCTTGCAGTCTCTTGAGGTGGTTGTGTAATTTGGTCTAACCTAAACCAGCACTCCAGTTCATCTTTCTAATGTGGTTTCTATTCATCGAGCAGTGACATCATGGCCCTTCCATCCTTTTTTGTTGTTGTTGTCTTTAATAAAACGGTGCACAAAGTGACTCTTGGTGCCATGGAAAAGAAACCAATCCCCATAAATAACTTTTCATTAGGGCAAATAAAGTGCAGTGAATAAACACATACAGTGGAACATGGCAACATATTACAAAAAAGAAACGTGTGTGGGGAAAACACATTTCTGCTTCAGGGAAAAGTACATGGAATTTCTTCAGAGTGGGGTTTTGTGGCATAAATGAAAAGAAAATATATAATATATAGGTTGTGAGTTTAAAAATCTGTTACTCACAGTAGCAAATATTTAGATTGAAACTCTGAATTTCAGGATATTGAATTTTTATTACACATTAACTTAGTTTAATATTTAACCCATCTTTTTAACTAAACATCTAGACCCAGTATGCAAAAAGGGAAAGTTTTCATGGCTTACTCTTCGTAGAGCCTTCATAAAGTTTTAAGATTGACTGTTCAGTGTGTTGGAAAGCCTCAAAAATCTGAATAAATAAAAGAAATTTGAAAATAAGTTGCCATACTAAAATTAGATATCTATGTCCTCACTGTTTGTTCTGAACTTTCAGTGTTTAAATATATATGAGTTATGCATAAAAGTAAAACATTTACCATGTTTTTTTTAAATATAAGGAACAGTACCTTTTGGAATATGTTGAAAGTGTTAATATTTGTAAGCTTTGATGATAATTCTTTTTCTGGACAGTTTCACATGTGCAAGAGTTCATTACAACAAGTTAGTAATAATAAAATGCTTCTCCCATATTTAAAATAGAATGTTGTGGCATTTTTCTTGCATGAACGTTGTGTTTTGTAACTAAGGTTGAGAAAAAATTTGTGTCCTTCTCAAAAATGAAATTCCACTTCTCTAATATGGTAGCTCTCTAGGTGGTTTTATAGAATCATGGAGTAGAAAGGACTTTAAAGATAATTTCATTCCACCCCCTGCCATGGGCAAGGAAACCTCCCACTGTCCCAGGTTGCTCCAAGCCCTGTCCCACCTGGCCTTGGACACTTCCAGGGATCCAGGGGCAGCCACAGTTTCTCTGTGTAGTGTTTCACCACTTGTATAATAAAAAAAAAAAAAAAAAAAAAAAAATTAAAACATTCTTTCTTATAGCTACTCTTTCAAGCCTGTGTCTGCCCCTGCTCCAGCCTTGTTTCTCCAGAACCATCATGGTCATGTAGAAGTCCTGCATGCTCTTGATGTTTTAAATGACTGAGATCTGGGCAAGAACTGGATGGAGAGATACCTCTGGAAGGTGGCAGAAAAGAAGAATTAATGTAAGTCTGGAGGAGCAAAAATGTGCTGGAGAAAATGTAAACACAAAAAATGCACAAACTAGACATTGTCTTTTCCCAGCATGCTTCTGGGAAATGCACGAGAACAGGTTTAGATGACTTTGTGTTGTTATTAGTTTATTTTCAGGTCATTTATTTAAGTGTCATAAAGAACATTAGCTGGTGGTTAGGGACTCCAATATCCATTATATCATTCCAATCATGTGGACAAGTTTATACTACACATGATTTACAATGGTCTTTCCGCCGTAGAAATTGTTCTCCTCAGGTACAAGGTTTTATTCGTGGTTGTATTTAGCAAAATCCAAGTGGCTGAGCACAGAGATGTCTTCCAATCAAAGTCCAAAAATTAATGCCTTTCCACGAACACCATGGATTGCAGCAAGAGCTGTTTATGGCTCTCTGCCTACATCTTTTATCATGTCTCCACTGTTGTTAGTAAAATATACAGAACTACTTTATGCCAAAACAATGGAAGTTAATGCAGATAACTTGTTCCAAAGTTAACCATCAAATAAATCTCTCTCTCTCCTTTTTTTTTTTTTTTCAAACTGTTAAGTGAAATGGTGTTCTAAAACTTTAAAAAATTGTCAAGATGATGAATACTGTGTGTGTAATACAAGTAAATACCATGGAATTGATTGCACACACATGTCTTAAATAAAAGATATTAAAGAGTATATTCCAGAGAGAAATCGGTGGAGTTTTATCTAATATTATTAGGAATTCTGCAATGACAGATCAGATTTATAAGGGTTGAAAACTAAGGAGGAAACCTGTTCAGAAACAGAAGTGGTGCAGTGAGTGGATGGTTGGCCAGGAGATTAAAGACAGGCAGGGGGATAGAGCCTTCCTAGGTAGCCTGACCTCTCACACCTGAAGCAATTTGTCTTAACAGCAGTAATTTTTCAAAATATCTTAGTTAAATTTGGGTTGGTAAATCAGTCCTTTCAATGTAGTCACAACTTAGTAGTTTAAGAAAAACCTCTAACCTGTTTCTGCTTCAGCTTTTCCCATGTGTAAATATTTAAAAGTACATCCTGATGGGCCTGTGTTTGTGCTTCAGAGGAGCCACCAGCAGCCAGTGTTAGGTCTGTGACCAAAGGCTGAGGGAATTGGGATTGTGCAGCCTGGAGAAGAGAATGCTCCAGGGAGACCTCAGAGTCCTTCCAGTGCCTAAAGGGCCTGCAGGAGAGTGAACAGGGACATTGGACAAGGGATGGAGGGACAGGACAAGGAGGAATGGCTTCAACTGGCAGAGGGCAGTTAGATGGGGTACTGGAAAGAATTGTTCCCTGTGAGGGTGGGGAGGCCCTGACACAGGGTGCCCAGAGAAGCTGTGGCTCCCCCATCCCTGGAAGTGTCCAAGGCCAGGCTTGGTGAGCCTGGAGAAACCTGGGGTAGTGGAAGGTGTCCCTTCCACTACCTGTGTCAGGGGGCTTGGAATGAGATGGTTTTTATGGTCCTCTTCCAACCCAAACCATTCCTTGATTGTAGGATTCTGTGTATGGAATTCAGCCATACCAAATTTGTACTTCTAAACACAGGGAATCTGTTGCTGTTCCTTGGGAGAAGAGGTCGATCCCCACCCAGCTCCATTCTCCTTTCAGATAATTGTAAAGAACAAGAAGGCCTCTATAGCTAGGATTGATTGCTATCAATCTTAGAAGTAATACTGGCAGAAATTCCAAAACTTTCCTGGCAGAGTTGCCCTCTTTCTTGCATTATTTTCTTGTTTGCATTAAGTGTTTGCATTATTATTTATGTAGCAGGTAAATAGTTTTATTTTCCCTGTTGATATATGTGTCATTAGGGAATGCATTGTTTTATTTCACAGGTGTCACATTCACTAAAATAAAGTGTGTCTTCCTGAATTCATGTTGTCGTTTAGATGGATGTAAAATATCAACCATATTTTACCTTTTAATGTGCTATTACTTAATTGGTCAGGTGAAACTTTAATCCAGCATAAACACAATACAGATTTTTTGTTTTTCCTCCCAGGTTCATGCCAGAGCATAAACTTGCTCGTTTGAAAAAGGTAATGGGTGTTAAAAGGAATGGAGATGCTTATCAGGAGGGGCTGCCTGGCCAGCAGGAGAGCAGAGCTGTAATGAAAACCAGTGATGCACATCCTGAGTCTGGACTTTGTGAGCCCCAGCCTGGACTCTGCACCACACAGCACGAGGGGCTGCCCTGCCCACCAGCAGTCCCAGTCCAGGCTGAAGCACCAGAAAGTACAAATCCTTGTCAAGGGGAAGATAAGCAACGTCTGACTTTTAACCTCTCTAATATCTTGAGTGGACTGGACTATCAGCAAAGACCTCTGCACATTGCCTGGCCTCACAGGTG